TCAAGTAGTGAGTGAGACTTGAATTAGAGGCTGAGGAAAGAGATGGGGGTGGCTGCTCTGCCACAGAGCGTTAATCTGCATCTCCAGTTGTAAAAGGAAACCACAATGTCAGACAGTTTTTCTTCTTTATAGGAATACAAATAACAGGGTACAGCTGCAAAGATACTAGGAGAGTGGATTAGATGTTAGCAGCAAAGGGAAAGAACAGCTGACGTCATTGAGTTGAATCAGAAATGTTCTTGAGCAGAGGGTCTCTCCTCAAGCATCAGGTTTAACGATAGATTTGTAGGACCCTACGGTGCAGAGTGAATAGCTGATCTCACCAGACAGAATCCCTTTGGAAAGACTAGACCTCGCCACAAGTTATCGGTCCTGTTGAATAATTAAGAGAACCTTTGTCTCTGAGACAAAGAGGCCTCAGTTCTCAAATTACAGGACCAAATCACAGTCGGTACTATCCCTGTTAAGCACTCTTAGTGTTCTGACACGAGTATTCTGTTGATAGAAGTCCTCTCCATTTTAAATTGAGTAGCTCCTTAAACTGAATATGTCGACAACTGTTCTCTAATTTGAGGCTCAGCATCTGTCCTCTTTCCTTCATTTGTTTTCTCTGCACCATTTTTCCTTTTACAAGATATATCTTTATAAATTATATATTTGTTGGCGGTTAATGGAAATGTTTTTCTGTGATAGCTTTTGGTCATGATTGAGCAGAAATTTCTTCATGATTTTTCCATTTTCTCCACTGTGTATCCCTCATTCTCCATGAGCTATCAAATCAGCTGTCGACAGATAATAGAGTGAAGGTCTATTTAGGTGAGCAAGGTTAAGTTTAAAGGAATAGTACACCCAAAACATGATTAGCCTTCATTTTCTACTCACCCCCATGCTGAACAACACTCTGGAGTACTTTTTTGATATCTCAAATGCATCTGGAGATCTGGGAGGCTTCTTGCTGTCTGCTGACATTCACATAATGGAGGTCTATTGTGCCTGAGACAGAAAGGTCCATAAAAGTCCACAAAAACGTGTCAATATTCCTCCATACTGCTCGTCCAATGTATTCCAAGTGTCCTGAGTGGGTAGCATCCAGAATTTACTCGAAACGAAGTCATTTAGAATGTTTTTAGAGCATAAACAGTAGTGTATAGGATTTCCTGAAAGCGCGTTCACGAGTCTACGGAAACCGCGGCAGACCAAACCGGATGAAAGTGCGCATTCAGCTCGGCAAAGAACTCATGCCCTTCCTCAACACTGAAGTCCTCAGACATTTTTCTTTCGTTGTTTCTTTCTTTGCACAGGTAAACAGCACATTTCTTCTTCTACGCTTGCATTATCGGCAGAGCAGACGCTGAATGCGCACTTTCATCTGTTTTGGTCTGCCGGCTTCCGTAGCGTCCTGAACACGCTGGCGCGCGCTTTCAGGAAATCCTATACACTACTGTTTATGCTCTAAAAACATTCTAAATGACTTCGTTTCGAGTAAATTCTGGATGCTACCCACTCAGGACACTTGGAATACATTGGACGAGCAGTATGGAGGAATATTGACACGTTTTTGTGGACTTTTATGTACCTTTCTGTCTCGGGCACCGTAGACCTCCATTATTAATGTCAGCAGACAGCAAGAAGCCTCCCAGATCTCCAGATGCATTTGAGATATCAAAAAAGTACTCCAGAGTGTTGTTCAGCATGGGGGTGAGTAGAAAATGAAGGCTAATCATGTTTTGGGTGTACTATTCCTTTAAGAAATGGAGTTGGAATTATAGTTAAAAGATGCCTTTTAAACAAAAAAATCATAGGAAAGGCCTGCTTTATATAAAGGACTATCCTAAACAGCTGTAAGCTTTAAATTCCTTAGGGTTGATTGAAAAAGTATGGAATATGTTTGCACAGGTTCACCTTGGAGTTTCCTCATTATCAGTTTGGATGAAGTAAGGCGCATTATTTGTTTTATTGTTTAGACTAGAGCAAAAGGCAAGTATGCCCAGATTAACACGAGTCTCTTCCTTCAGAGCCTGAAGTGAACAGCCTTGTGTCCAGATGTTTAACTCATCATTTAAACACTTTCCTAACTGTCACCAAAAAGGTACAGAACAAGCACTTATTGCCAAAATAGACTCTTTTTAGTTTGTATTAACTACTTTTGCATGCAACCAACTACACTATGGACACTTCTTCCCCTCTGCCATAAGACTCATGAACACATAACTGTATGTCAGACTCTATAATTTGCCCATGCAAGGTTGTAAGATGCTATTTTACTTTTTATATTTTTTATCCATATTTTTATTAAGTGTATATTAGTCTATTTTTTGCATGCCTTATACCCACAGTGTTTTTAGATATTTTTATATATTTTTTTTCCCTATTATATATTATATGTTTCATGTTGCACGATTGTACCATAAAAAAATCCTAGTTTGTGAACTCCTTCACTAACAATGGCAATAAACCTGATTCTGATTCTGATTCTGACACGCAGGCAAAAATTGCTTGGCCAAAAGCTGCTATATTTCTGTCGTTGTCGTAAAGTTGTAGTGGCTTGATGTCTTTGGAGAGGCAGTGTTTTTAATTTGCACTTTTGAGGGTTGTTTTTATTAATTCTTTTATTCACCTAATCAAAATTTAAAAAAAGATGATGTATTTTGTTAAATCTATCACAATGGAAAATCAAATCACATAACTTAATCGCTTGTAAAGCTCCGTCTTATGCATAATTATTATTTAATTTTCTTTGTCTTTTTGCAAAGTTTTAACAAAAATATGACTAGTTTTTACACAGTTCCTGACTTAAGGCTGATTTATACTTCAAAACTAGGTCGTCTGGGTAGGTATCGCATTGAACGCAAAGACGCTTCAAAACTGAGCATAAATAAAAAATGTTTGTGTCGACAAACTGCTGCGGGGAGTATAACCAGCCCTTGAGAGTGTGTGTGTTGCTCATTAGGTTAATCTGTCCATGATTCTTTTTTGGAGTCTTACCCAATCTCCGGACACAGCAACAGCTGACAATTCTGTGAAATATTTTGGCCTTGGCTTGGAAATATGAACATCTTTTTTTAATATGATTCAATTCAAAAATACTTTATTAAAGTTGTCTGGAAAAAAGCTGATGCAGGGAACGAATTCTGCTCACTGTGCATGTTTTGTCATAATCAGCAGGGATAATTTTCAGCAACTGTAAGGGTTTATTTTGACTTGGAACATGGACGAATTGATGCTGCATCACAAAAAGGAATGATTAAAAAACACACTTGGATTCCTTTTACCTTTACATCCTCGCTGTTTAAAAAGCATATTTCCAATGTTATAAATCTGTTTACCTGCATTTGGGAAAATGTGATGTGGAATTTCTTTATTTCTTTCTTTCCACCTTCTTAGCAAAGGGCCCCTTCTGGTTTAAACTCCTGGGTTGTAAAGCTCCTTGGAACAATTTTTGTTATGAAGTGGCTCAAAATAAATATAAAGCAATACCTGAAAGGGGTTTTCTTGCATTGCAGCAAAAATCATGTTTTACTGTTGTTTTTGTTTGCTATAATTCCAAAATCATTTTATTACATTCCTGACATCTATTTGTATATATAAATAAACTTCAGCAATCTCCTAACTCTAGCAATCTCCTAATGACGTTGTTTTCAAAATCATTGTTATTATTATTACTATATGGGTGTGGTGGTGTTTTGCAATAACTGACTGTGCAAGAGAGGTAAAGCGTGAGTTTTGTCACATGTTAGACTGGCAGAACGGTCTTTGCCTGCAGGGCTGTGGTTTTGTGAAATAAACTAAGATGGCTTTTTAAAGAATCATTCTACAACAATGTTTTTGTCCTAAAAATCTAATTTCCTTCTTATCTGTCCTTAAATGATTTATCATGGTTGCAATCAACTCAGACATAGAAAACATTACGTAACACAAACAGGATAATTGCATGTGGAATTGTTTCCATGTGTTGACCCATTCTATTACCCACAGTGACAATGACTGCTTAGCTGTAGTTTGACTCCTTAGTGACAGCGTTGTTGTGCTGCGATTTGTTACTGTTGTGGGATCAGGGGTAGTCGTCTTCCTGAACGGATGTTAGTGTTCATGTGTGGGTTTTTGGTGATGCACAAGGGTTAGATGGGGAAACTTAAGAACCGCCCTGACTGGTAAAAGTTCATGCAAAGTTCTTCAGAGATTGATTAAAATGGTGGAATGCTTAAAAGCACCAAAATAGCTTTTGTACCTCATGTATTTTGTGTAAATATTTATGTTTAACCTAAGGTTTGGTTGCGATCATCCTTTTTGAAAAGAGGCTGCTGTCATTAAAACGTACTACTCTCCGGCTTTTATGAAGCTGTAAACAGCCTGCTGATACATTTGTAAATTCTTTAACTTCTGGGATTTTATGATCCAGTTAATGACCATTCCACACACTTTTCTCTCTTCATTGGAAGCTATCTGCCTGTTCCCTTTGTTTGATTAACTCCGTGCTAAGACAGACTGCTCAAAAATCCTTTTTATTATGCTTTTTCCAATAATTCAGGACATTTTAAGACTTGGGAAGGCATATTACTTTTACTGTAGGTGTGAAGATGAATCAGTGAATAAAAACGAGAAACTAGCCTTCAGCTGTTTTAATTTGAGCAACCTTTTTTCTTGCAGAATGCAGCAGCTGGAAAAATCTTGTCACTTTTATTACATTACCAGCATCTTTTTATAAGACTAGAGTTGGGCTGGTAATGTGGCCTCCAAAGCTGGTATGCATTAGTGTGCAGTTTGCATGCCAAATGTTTCACTGATGCGTAATCTCCACTGATCTCACAGCTTAACGCCTGACGTGTAGGTTCTGCAGAGGAATGCAAACCATTTGACATTCGTCAACTGATTAAGTGCTGATTTAATCTTTAGTTGGAGGAATAGTTTTTGTGCTCTCCTCCAGTCTGCTACTGTGGGATGAATTTAGTGACCCTGTTTATTGGCTGCTTAATTTCTTTCTTTATTTCGTTCCTCCTCAGATAAATCCACAAAATGGAGAACTCCAACAGCAGCAAGCCTTTTGTAGTGACATCATCTCTGAACTTCAAAGTCACCACTCCGTCTTTCTACAACCAGCCAAAGAAGTTTGCTTCTGTGGCTCCGCCGAGGCCCAAAAGTCAGACCCCTCCCTTAGCTCCATCACCCACACCCCTAGGGACAGCTGTCATTGGTCGGGTCGGAGACATGCCTCCACCGCCTTCAATTCCATGTGAAGGTATTTTCTTAATTTAAGTTCTTTTTTCAATCATTGCAACATCATCTTAATTTATTTTGTCTCTGAAAGCAGTTTTGTTTGTTTTGGTAACTAACACAACTTGTACAGATAGCTTTGGAAAATATGCAATAATGAAAATATGCAATGCAACACTAGCTTAAAAGTTTCTTCCTCTTTTATTGAATTTCCATTCTGTAAAGTTTGGGCTTTACCATAAGTTTCCTTTTGTCTGTTTGTTTATGTTTGTTTTCCAGTCTTATGTTAGCAACAGTTTATTCAGAGAATAATTGGCACCAGCCAAGAGTCAAGCTCTGCACAATGGGAGATAGGGCCTTCCAGGCAGTTGCCCCACAACTCTGGAATGGCCTCCCAGAGTCCCTTAGGGTCCCACAGAGTGTGGAGGCCTTCAAGAAAGGCCTCAAGACATTTTTATTTAAAAAAGCCTATGAACATTAGTTAGTATTTTATCTGTGTGGTTTTATGGTTATTTTACTGTTTTGTTTTTACTACGTATGTTATTTTACTGTAATGTCTCATTTTAACTATGTATACCGTTTTTATTATACGGTTTTGTTTTAACTATGAATTTTGTAGCACTTTGAGATTTTTTTTAAATGTAAAGTGCAATACAAATAAAATGTATTATTATTATTATTATTAATTTGCAAATGGATGCAGTTAGCGGTTAAAATTGCAGACTCAAGTGCTCTGTTAATGTCATCAACCAATCACTATACATAGCATCCTAGACTATCATTGTACACTTGCATTGTCTGGCTGAAGGCTGCTGCTGCGAGCAGTCTCCTACTGCAAGGTAGAATGCCCTGCAAATCTGTTAGCCACAGTTCAGATAGTGAGAACTGAAAGAGGAAGGACTTCTTGGAAACAACATAAATAGGTTCTTATGTTTTGAAAGTATTTTCATTGTAGGCTTCTGCTTAACATGTTGAAAAGCTTTCATCAGGCAAGCTTCATTGCTTTAAATAAATTACACTTTTCAGATCAGCACTTTTTGTTTTTTGTTGTTTTTTGTTTTGGTCTGCTTCCTTCTTTTAAATCTAAACATGGCAATCACTCAAATTTATTTATTTTATTTATTTTTTTTATATGGTTTCCAACGCCATGTTTTGATGACCCCCCTATCATTTTATCATCAGATTTCCCACCCCCTCCTCCTCCTCCTCCAGTGGATGATGATCTGCCAGCCCCTCCCCCTGAATGCAACATTCCTCCTCCTGGCTCTGATGCTCCTGCTTTTCCTGCTCCGCCTCCGGTGGCTGATGACCTCCCCCTCCCAGCTCCCCCTGAGGAGGCTGTCGCTCCACCCAGCTGTCCTTCTCCCACTCCTCCTCCACCACCTCCACCTCTTCCTGCCTCCACTTCCAGTTTTCCTAACGCTGCTGGAAACTCACAGGTGGGTCACATCGATTCAATCACTGCTTCCCTGAATAGATGCATTGCCAGACTGTAGACTGGACAGCATTGGTTTATGTTATTAAGTAATCTATAGATCACCCAGAGATTTTTCTTTATTTCTTTTATTTTTTATTTTTTTCCCCTGCAACTTATGTTTGGTTATATGAAAATAAATTATAAATACCTATGTTTTTGAAATAACAGATTGTTCCACATGTAATTAAAAATCTAGTAAGTAGAAAATATATTATTAAACCATAAAATAAAACAAATCCATACATCTCTCCAACTCAACCTTTGTTCAAGTTTACCCTCTGACTTTTTCACTGACTTTTAATTTATACTACTTTAAATTTTTCATTTGTAAAACTTCCATTCATCCATTTTCTGGTACGCTCATCCCTGCTGGGGTCATGAGGGGTGATGCCCATCTCCAGCTGTCAACGGGCAAGAGGCGGGGTGCATACAATGATCAAATCAATCTTTAATTGATTTATACGTCGATACGGATATCTGATATTAGTATTGTTGTTACAGCCACAAATATCGACTCATATTCTACATATCCCTATACGGTCAACATTGTGAAGAACTGACCGCAGCTCTGGCATTGCTTCACTGCTTCAGTTAAACACCCACAATCCTGCGCTGCATCACGAGCACATGAACAAACAAATACCACATGACTAATCCTCTCCCCTCCCAAAACGCAAACTAGATCAAAATAAAAAATCGAAGTCATGTAGAATTGTTAAGTGGAAATAAATGGTTCTTTAATTGTTTTAAATATTGAAGTGTGTTGCTTATTTGTATTCGGCTCAGTGCTTCTCCATGTGTTTCCTACTAAAAGACTGTAGGATGTCTTTTACATCCTACAGCTCTTATAGAATTAGAAAATAAAATAATTTTAGGCCACTAACATATGATTGGATGGCTTCTGTTATCTCATAATCTGATCCTGATGGAGAAAGTTTTTTTTTTTTTCTTCATTTTTTTTTGCTGATTTGTGGATTTATGAAGTCTTTGATGAAATTTGCCTTTATAGGCTGTACTTTGAACAGTTGGAATCCCTTTTGCTTCCTGAAGGGCATCCATGACGACAACTGTTCAAAGCCTGTTAACAAGTCAAAATAACGTAATACCGCCAAATATACCACATTTTCTGTAGACTAGAGCTACTTATACCTCTTGTAGTCTTTTTTGTGTTTTAAAATGTTTATGAAGTTTGCTTGAATTGCCTACACACCATATTCTGTCACGTTCTGCAAAAGCTTGATAATTAACAGCTGGCATTCCAGAGCCTCAATGGTGAGTGTTCTCAAGTCAATAAATGTACTTTTTTATATTGATATTTTTTCTCTTTCTATCCTATTAAGAGACAAATGGAAAAGCAGACAAGTTTTGACAAACAGCTTGATTCTTTGACTGATTTGTTGTCTGAGATGGAAACCAGAGGACCATTCAATCCCAAGGTACACTGCCCAGACAGAGGAGTTCTTTAAAAATTTTAAACAATAGGATTAAGGTCCTTCAGATTGATAGAGAAACAGGAGAGGAGACAAAAGGGAATAAGATTGGAGGAATTGCATTGTGGAAAAAGAAATAGTTTGAAGGCAAAAAGGGAGTACACCCACTTTGGCCAGTGAGAAAAGTATAAGGATTATAATAAGTCACTCATCTCGTCAGATTTCAAAAATCATCTATTAGTGAAGCGCACACATGACTCACAAGACTGAAAGAGGAAATCCAAAGAAAAAAAGTTACATGGTGATTCATACTGAGTGAAACTGCAAGCGGAAAGGAAGAGTGATGCACACTGAGAGCAGGAGGGTGTGATTGAGTCAGAGTGTGCTGCAAGGGACTTGGTGAGAGGGCCATAAATGGAGTTTTATCTGACTGGAAGAATAATGATGGCCCCAAACTGCTAAATAAATGTCAAAAGACTCTGTACCCTGACTGTGGAGCGCTTCAATCAATGCTTCATATTTAATATGATAAAGGTGTTTGCTTGAAGTATCAAAAGCTGTGTTTACACACTAGATATTAGCTTCTTTGTGCTGAACTTTGTTTATGTTGGATAAACTTTAACTTCACTTAGTTCAATATTAATGATTTCTGTTAATAAGAGTCTATAAATACAGGCTTTTATTGTTCATGTTCATCCACAGGTACCAAGCCAGTATTCATCTGCACCACCACCCAAGCCTTCAGGTCCTCCTCCCACTGCTCCTAAACCGGCCCTTTCCTTCCTTCCGCCCCCTGAGATGGGAGACCGCCCCCCTCCTGCTCCCTGGGCCGAGGAACTCAAAGCCAGAACCAACCCTGGCGCTCAGCCGTTCACCAAGGCCCCAGCTGTGGCTCCAAAGTTCGGAGGGAGGACAGTGACGTCTTCATCTGCTTCACTGGCGCAAAAGATCAACCAGAACCTGAATCAGAACCAAACAACTCCCCCAATGAACAGTTCACCAAAACCTCCTCCTCCCACAGCCACCATCTCATTCCCTCCAGCGCCTGCAGCTCCACCTGCTCCTCCTGCTCCACCAAATAACATGGCTGCTCCTCCTGCACCTTTTTTTAAGAGTCCTGTTAATGCAAACCAAAACCTCCCTGCTGCTGTGCCTCTTCCTCAACCAAAGTCCATGGCATCTCCTCCATCCTCCTTCAGCCAGCCAATGAAAACAAGCCCTTCGTCGACGGTAGGTTGCAGCTTTTTCTTAGCAAGTACTGTTAAAAAAGAAATAGCAGGAACAGATACAGGACCATCAAAATCTTTTTAAACAAGTTAATCTTTCACTTTTTAATGCTCACACTAAAAATAAACTGTTATCAATAATCATTCCCATCGTGCTTAACAGGAAGGTAATTTCACTTCCTTATCCAGCCTTGTTAATCACAATTTTGTTTTTCTGTGTTAATTTTTAAGTTTTATTCTTATGTTTTCCTTTCAATCTGTATGGGGGAAAAAGCCCTGAATAGAAAACTTTGCTCCAGAACTTTCTCTGGCATCTTATTAAGAGCATTTCAAACATAGATGGGACATATCAGAGGTTTTGCATCTATCACTGTTTCAGCCTTTGGCATGTATTGATGCCAGCATAAATGTCAAATTGAATATGTTTTATGGACAGCCGTCACCTCCTGGCCCAGTTTCCATTCCCGGCGGTGGCGTCCCCCTAAATATGAAAGAAGTGGAGGAACTGGAGAAAATGACACAGGACTTCATGAAAAACATGGACAAACAAGCCCCCATCATCACCTCCCCTCCTACAGGTACTATTATGTCTCTTAGACAGATACATTAATCACACCTCACTTCTCAGGCAGCCATCTTTGCCATATATCCTGCATGTGCTGATTATAAAATCATTAAACATAACATCTGCTTCTCCCTATGATTATTAGCATTAATGTACCGTATTTTCACGACTATAAGGCGCACTTAAACGTCTTTTTTTTCCCTCAAAATGTGCGGTGCGCCCTTTGGTGCGGTGCGCCTTATGTGTGTTGTAACTGCGACTTTTGAGACCACCTCATTGAGGAGATGATGAAAGAGTGGCTGAATGTAAGGAGACCAGGTGTTTTTTTCCACTCATCACCATCGCTGTTAATATGTGACTCCATGCGTGCCCATCTCACAGCTGATGTGAAAAACATGGGGAAACAAATTAACGTTGTGCTCGCTGTTCAACCGCTCGACATCGGTGTGAACCGGACCCAGCAGGTGCAGCAGAAGCAGCAAGTTTACATGCAAAGTCAATGGTTGACGCGCGTATAGGCGCAGCAAAAGGTCCCGCAGCGCGTTTTGAGCAGCAGGTGCAGCGCCTCGGGAGCGTTTAAGCATCTGACGCACCGCCAACGCGCTGCTGCTGCTCGAGATGGAAAAATTGAAGTTTTGCTGCTGGACGCGCCGCATCAACCAATCAGAGAAGCTGATCTGGGAGCTGACAGCGAGACAGACACAGCGCTCTGATGACATGATATTAACGCAAATGAAAAAGGCTGGATGGATGAGAAGATGATGAAAGGCAGGTGTATGTGAGGAGACCAGGTGCTTTTTTCCACGCATCACCATCGCTGCGTGCCCATCTTACAGCCGATGTGAAAAAAAGGTGAATCAAATGGATACTGTGCTCGCCGTTATCCCGGGGGTCTGATAAAGGAACTTCAACCGCTCGACATCGGTGTGAAGCGGCCGTTCAAAGTAAGGCTGCGAGCGGCGTGGGAGCGATGGATGACAGACGGAGACCACAGTTTCAGGATAAGTGGAAGGCAGCGCCGGGCAAGTTACGCCACCGTTTGCGGATGGATTGTAGATGGACTAACGTGTCTGCTGGCTCTATTGTTCAAGCTTTCGCAAAAACCGGCATTATTTCTGAGGAGCCGCGCTGCACGGAAAGTGACTGACAGCGAAGAATGGGAAACTGGCATGTCTGATTTAGCACAGCTGTTTAATTCAGAAACAGTGGATGATGACTTTGATGGGTTTGATTAATACTTTGTAATAAATACATGAATAAAGCACAAACATACTCAGTTTTGCTCCCGCTCTATTTTTCTACCTGAAAACTTAATTCAACAGCAGCCTCTGGGCGGGTCTCCTCCTCTTCACCGCGGTGGCTTGCAGGTGTTTTTTCATCTAAATAATCTAAATCTTGCAGCTATATTTGCTGTGATCAGTGGGAATAAAGTAGTTTTAATATGTTTTTAAGTGAGAAAGGCCACCTGAAAACTTAATTGCAGTCAGTTCATCCAGATTATCTATTTCTGTCGGAGGCGCTCAGACCCCCACATACCAGCGGTGCACCGACAGCAGAAATCCCTTCAACAGCAGCCTCACCGCGGCGGCTGGCAGGTGTTTTTCATCTAAATAATTTACAGTGCAGGCACCAGGATACCGGCAATAAAAGCGAACATATTCCGTCGGCAGGTTTCAGGATTTTAAGTTAATTTAGGAGTAATCACAGCGCTGTGTCATCTGCGATGTGTCTGTCTCATGGCCAGCTGCCAGGTTTGATTAATACTTTGTAATAAATACATGAATAAAGCACAGTCATACTCAGTTTTGCCCCCGCTGTATTTTTAAATACGCAGTAGAGGTATTTAAAGGTAGTAGAGGACTTGTACCTGTATATAAAAAATGCGCCCTATAGTCCGGTGCGCCTTATGTGTGTGTTAAATACAGAAATGGGACACATAACTGAGACTGGGCCTTTTAGTACGGTGCGCCTTATGGTCGTGAAAATACGGTAGATAAAAGACAGATGCCATTTTTATCATTCACTACGTAGCTTCATGTTTGTATTTATTTCTTGGTTCTTAACATTTAACTTCACCTTAATTATGCTTTTAGATAAGAGACAGAATTTCTGCAGTGTTAGTGCTATATTAGAATTGTATTTAGTTTTTTTATGATATTGCATCATTTCTTCATTGTTTGAAAACAATATATATTTATCTCCACCTGAAGCAGGTCTTTGTTAACTGCTCTGATGATTTAACCTTCGTTTAACTGTGAATTTCTCCTTTTTGTTTGGGGACAAAAGAAATCTTAAGAATTTAAATGAACCTTGTCCATCAGAGCCAAACGGTTTATGATGTTATTTTCCTTTAGTAGATGTGCTTTTCGGTCATGAAAAGCACATCTATGTTAGTAAAGAATGTTGTTGAACTTGTATTTCTCCAGAGGTTTGTGGGAAGTGTGGAGAGGCTCTGTCCCGCACTCAGCCTGCTGTGAGGGCCATGGATAAGCTCTTCCACTCCAATTGCTTCTGTTGCATGAGCTGCCATCGCCCCCTGCAGGGCATGCAGTTCTACGACAGGGATGGCTCACCGCAATGTGAAGACTGTTACGTGGTGAGGAACCACAGTCCATATGCAGCATAAACAGATTGTTTGAATAAATTCCTGGGTGTTAAACAAAAGTTTTTACCAAGTTGAAATAAATCTAAGGCATTTGCTGTAATTGTTTATGCTCTGCAACATAATTTGTTTCAATTTAATGAAGCTAATCAAGATTTTAGCATGAGTTTTATCTTTGTAGAAACAGGAAAACACACAGCATATTTACCATCATTATTTACATGATTCCTGTTGATTAGTTTTGTTTTTGCTTCTACAGAGTTCCCTGGCTATCTGCTCCAGATGTGGGGAGAGAATCACTGACCGTGTCCTCAAGGCCGTGGGACAGTGCTTCCATGCCCATTGTTTCCGCTGCAGCACCTGCTCCTGCGTTCTGGAGGGCGCGCCATTTATCACTGATGACAACAACAATCCCTACTGTGTCCAGGATTACCACAGGTGCCTCCAGATTATTAAAACAACATGCATGATTCTTCTTTTGTGTTTCTGATTAAATATAGTTTTATTGTTAATAATATCTGGTATAAATATTGTTGAAGACTGTGATTTTCAGTCCAGTTTATTTGTGTACTGACGATTCACAAAACAACAATTCGAAGTTATATATGGCTATGCAAGGTCATGGGCTCTATGTACCACTCCAATACTTCCTTAAGGCAGCTCATTTATTCATTTGCTTTCATCTCTGAATAGACTGATTAATCCAGATGTGTGTGGTCATGGTTACTGAGGCCATGAACCTGGATTATTCAGTTAATCCAGTAGAAAAAGACAGGAAACAAAAAAGCTGCTTTAAGTTCAGGAAGTAGTGGAGTTGTGCATAGAGCCCATTAAATCATTAGACTGATTAACAGCCTTCTAAACAATTAAGTTTATGTCAAATTCTATGTAAGAAGCTTAGCCAATAGACTTTGCAGCATTTTCCCCTCACGAACGTGCATGTAGGTGCAACAGTCTCGTATATAGTGCATAGAATCAGCCAGTCGGAGCACCCAGTGAGAACCCCTCTGTTCCCAGGAAAAAAATGCAATCTTAATTCAGAAAGGCAACAACACCAGATGTTGCCAGTTTGCAGCCCTGTAAGGACAGTGGAAAACACAACCCAAACAACAACCATTAGATGGGTTTGTATTGGGACACCCCTGAGTTGAAATGATTAACGTCACCAAAGCAATCAGAAAACACTGTTAAATTAGATTCTTCATCTTCTGCTGTTTAATAGACAGTCAAAAGAGTGTTTGTTTTGGTTCAATTAATGTTTTATGCTGTTTTACTTTTGAGAATTTCAGAGAAATAACCACAGAATTCTGTCTTCTTCTTTTAGACGTTTCTCTCCTCTGTGTGTGAGCTGCAATGAACCCATTATTCCAGCCCCAGGGAGCGAGGAAACGGTCAGAGTGGTGGCCCTCGACAAAAACTTCCACCTGAAGTGTTACCGCTGTGAGGTAAGCAGTTAAAGAATCAATATATCCTCTAAATAAGTGCCAAAGAATGTTAACACACACGTTATTCTTCACTCCACAGGACTGTGCTCGCCCTCTCTCCATTGAGGCGGATGAAAACGGCTGTTATCCACTGGATGGAAAGATCCTGTGCATGAAGTGCCACACCAAGCGAGCCAAGCAGGCCGCGCAGTGATTGGCTGCTGACGCATCTCTCAGTTAAACTACGAACCAAATCGCAAAGCACAGGATTAATTCAGCTACCGATTTGCCTTTGCAACAGGGCTTTGTTCTTGATGTTCACAGGTGTGTTTGTCTCTGTGAGAATGTATTGCATCGTTTAAAAAAAAAAAAAAAGTATGTTTGCATGCAGATTTAGTGTAGTATCCTCTTGTCTTTGACCACTTTTTCCAGTGCAGAGGTAATGTACTGCACTGAATTAAATACCCTTGTGTATTATTGCATATTTGCAAAGCTCCAGGCATCCAGCTAGCTTTTCTTGTGTATATACTACAGCGTAGTTTAATGTGCCAAATCAATGTTTACGCTACAATTACAGCAGAACTTGCACAAGAGCCATCTGATAAATCTAGAGTTGCCTTTCTCTGTCTCTTTCCTGAAAATTGTAAATAAGACCAAGAACGGAGATGTTTTTTTTTATTTTAACACCTTCAGTTGGTTACTTTTCCCATTTCTATCCAACTGTATTAGTTCCACGACCAATTTAAGAGATGCACGGATTTACAATCTCCTGTGTTTGTAAACTTTTGCTAATCCTGACTTTAGCCAATTCTGAGTTCTCTTCCTAAAAGCTGTGATTACCAGAATTCAAAGTAATTTTCTAAAACCTTCCTGTTGTGACTGGTTGTAATTTGTTTATATTGGGAGCAGACCTGATGTCACAGTTGGCGAGAAAAAGCAGTTCTCGTAAAGTCAGATTTTATTTATATAACTACAGATAGGATGATTGGCGATCACACTCGCTGTGAGCACCTGTAGCATGGTTACCTTTACTACATCTCTGATTATTCTTTTGAAAATCTAGATCTTAAACTTAATTCTGCCATTGTGTAGGATTGTTCCTAAGAATAAAAAAACAAAGCAGCTTTACTGTAAATGCTTTACCATTCCTGTTATCTTCTGAAGTTGCTTCTATGTCAGTTTACCTTTTAAGACCAGCGCTGGCCAAAGTCTAGCTTTGTGTTGTAGCAACTTGAATGACCAGCTGACATGCATCTGTAGAAAATGGTTTATTTTGAAATGGCTTCTTAGTTTTTCCAGTTCTCACTGACGCAGAGTAGAGTTTACTTTGAGTTGTCTCGATAACTTACATTGAAAATTATTCTTGTTTCTGTGATCTATTAGCGCTTCTTTGAGGTGAATTTACTGATCAGAGAAAGATCCAATCTTTGAGTCTCCCGGCCCCCTGTTGGGATTAGAAGAGGTCAATACCAATTTGTCTGTGCATTTCAAAGATTTACACAAGGGAGCAAGAAGCATCAGAACCTGATCATTACAGCTTTTTCCCTGAAAAATGCGATTAATGTTACATTCCTGCCTAAAAACAAAATGCTCCCTATCACCAGGCTCACTCTGCTACAGAAACAGTGAATGCTGCTACAGCCTTCCACTGTATGAATTTCTCAATCATCAGACATGAGTTTGACTGTCTTTAATTTAGTTAATGATACTGTCTATAAGGACAATTTCTTTAAAATGCTTTCTGGTCTGATAGATTGTTCTTTGGATGCATGTTTTTTTTTTTTTATGATTAAAAGTTGAGCACAGATTTGCTAAGCACAGCTTCCCTTACCTGTGGGAAAGAAATCTTTTAACAGCAAATCAGTTAAGTTCATAGCATGGCTGAGAACAGGACCTGTAATGTATTCTTGCACAGTGCCATAGTGAACTTAAATAGTGTTCTAGTTAAACTTTGACTCAGAACAATCCCTGCACATAATCATTTTTAAATAGAAATCTATAGTAGCTTAAATAGCGGGCATTTCTTAAAGTCTTTAATGTAATTTATGGATCTAATATTAAAAGTATTCAAATGCATGTCTTGCAGCAGGATAATAGAACCATAAACACAGCTTGATTTGAAAGATGCTCAGTAGATTAGATTTAAAGCTTAGCATTCATGTTGCCCAGTTATGTTCTCTTATTGTTTTGATACCACTGTTTCTGTTGGTCAGCCTTTTATACTTGAGTTTAAGTTTCATAAATGTTATTTCCATCTTTCTGCCATGAGCTGCATTGATGAAATTCCATACTGTTCCATGCTTCTGTATTTCATTTTTTATTCAGTAAGGCTTGTGTGCAGTTGTAGAAAATAATTTTAAAGTATGACAATTTTCGCGCTTGAATTGAGCTGGCGTAAAACACCAGAGTGAACAAAACAAGGTGATAGTGATGCATGCCTTTCTCCTAGTATTATGTTCTCTGTATTATGCGTCAGTGTTTCTTACCTTTGTGCCTGCGACTTTGCCATCAATGTTTGTTATAGATATTATCACAGCGTCATTTACATTGTACATCCTTGTATTACCTGTGAAAGCTTCGTCTTTTCCTATAACTTTTTTTTATAGGTTTGATACATAAGAATGTGCGAAAACTTCAACATTTAGTCCAACCCCATATTTTTGGCTGTATCAAAAGATCGAATTAAAAGAAATGGTTATTATACCAAATTTTTGTGCATCTCCTGCCTTTCTTCTGTTTGTTTTTTGTTTTCTTATTTTGACAAATGTCCAGTTTATTTTCAACATCAGATCACTGAAGCTTGTTTTCAGTGCTTTGTCAGAATGGGACCTCCGGACTGCTCTATCAGTTCCTACCAGCCATGTGCTGCACTGATAGTGACGATAGCAGATGTGCGTGTGCAATATGTAGAGGTCCTTTCCAGGAAGACAAGCTGACCTCCTACTTAGTGTGATGTTTAAGCACAGCCAACGTGTTGGTGTTTACTCTCCACTCCCAGCTTTCTTTCCTGACACTATTAATACAGCAGGAAAGGGAAAAAAAACTGCAATCTGTATCCAGCATTTCTGCATGTTATTAAAAACAAATCCATAAATGGAAAACAGAGGGCTCAGTCCCTGCTTTATTTGGATTTTAATGAGGAGGTGAAGACGAAACCTGCAGAGTTGTTTTTATCGCAAAGTCAGAAGAGGAAAGGAGTGATGAAAAGAGATACAGAGCATAGATGACAGCAGTCTGACGCAGGGACAGCAGCAACAGGAGGAGGTACATGTGAATTTAAACGCCACAGGACACAACACGGCACAAGAAACAAGGCAAGCATGAGTCAAACTTCAATCGAGCTTCAGGTAAGAAACATGAAAATCATCCTCTTAAATAGAAAATAGTCATTATTTTGTTGTGCTGTTTAGGAAAAAGGAACATTTGATGGGGGAATGCTTTTACAATATTTGAATTTTATTCTGTTGAGCACAAACTGTTATTAGCAGAAAGAAATTTAACTTTGAACAAAAAAAATCTTTACATCACACCAAATGTGGAATTCCATTGGTGCTTTTTGACACCAAAAGTAACTTTACAGTTAAAATGTGTAAAATAACAGAAATATATAAAACGATGTAGTGCTTTTTTATGTTCTAAAAGAAGACTGATAATCATGTTGAGTGTTTCAGACGTTGCAAACAAAAATGTTTGTGGTTCAGCACTTCCCTTAAAAGTACATAAACAAAAGGGATTCATTAAATAATAATTTAACTTTATTGATCTCACATTGGAGAAATGTACCTCTGCATTTAACCCCATCCCTCTTGGGGAGCAGTGGGCCGCCGTCGTGGGGCATCCAGGGAGATCTATGTCCTAACCAGTAGGCCACCACTCCCCACAATGTATGGGAGAAAGATTGAGAATGTATGATTAAATAGCCCAACATTTGGTTCAACTTTAACCTTTAAAACCAAGTATCACGTTCACATTCAACACCTGATTTTGAGTCTTCTGCATCATCAGCAGGATTTTTTAATCTTGAAAACCATGTCTTACACAATCAGACACACGTACTGAACAGAAAATGTATAAATATTATACACAAATGCCTAATGTATCAAAATTGAGGAGAATAAATCATCTTATCTAACTTAATTAGACAGTTCAATGGCAACTATTTTTTTTTTTATAGAATTTTCTGTCATTTATGTCATGGTCCAGGCTTTAACAAATATTCCTGGTTTGAATCTACCCACACTTCATAATTACCATTATACTATAAAGTATGCATATTAATAAATGTTTTTTTTTTTTATTGCATACCTCTCAATTTCTTTTTTGGTTAAGGGAAATCTGATTTTTATTTATAGAACATTTATTCAGTGTTGTAAAAAAAAAAAAAAAAAAAAATTAAGAAATAATTGTACTGAAAAAAAAAAATAATCCAATTGGAACCCTGAGTAGTTCCTTTTACATTAGAGAATTATATATTTAATGTATGTAGGCCCCAATCCTCTCAGAGTTTCTGGATTTCTAAGCAATCTAGTACTTCCTGTTTCCCTGCAGTATTATATACCAGTATGTGTGAAACTGGCTTTTTTTTCTAACCCCGGCTGTAAAATGAAAAGTCAAGAAAGCATCTTCACTGTATTAAAAATGTTCACGGGAAACTGCCTGCTAAACTGACCTATACCTGAAATCAATGTAATCATTTAAAAGTTTAAAACACTTGGAATTTAAAAAAAACAAGGTGGTCTCAACTTTGTAAATAAAATGGTGAGCTCACAGTTAGAGGTGAGCAGTGGGTAGGGCTCACCAAGTCCTATGAGATGCCATGTGTCCGTAGAATGATTTTTGGGGCATTTCTAGAGAAATCGTTTCCTTTTCTACCATCACCAACCTCAACGTTTTTGGTTCCTTTAAAAGCACTGAAACTTTAACTGTATGCTGAGGTTGATCTCTGTTTCAACAAAGCCTTCAGGTGGGTTCGGCACAGAACAAATAATGCAGGTGTAGGAAAGCACTACTATAATCGGTGGAGCAAGTCTCCAATCTTTTGCAGCCTCTAGTTTAATATCCACTTCCCATCCAGCGTCCTTTTAATGCATTGGTTTCCAAACCCAATCTGCAAGCTTTAGATGCGTCCCTACTCTAGTACCTGCACTGAAAGATTACATTCCTTCCTCAGCAGCCGCCACGGGCTGCAGAGGCCAGGTAATTACCCATTTATTTATGTCAGGTTTGAGGAAGCAGGGAAACACCTAAAACATGCAGGACAGTGGGTCCTGAAAACCCCTGTACAAGCATATATGCACACTTTCCCCAAATGGCTGATTTTCCCTTTGGCATGCTCTTTTATACAGCAGAAAACCAGTAATGAGCAACTAAAGACCCTTGCACTGTCAGGCATTCTTAAAGGATTTTCCTGTATAGAATAGAATATAAAAGAAAATCCCTTTATTGTCCCACAATGGGGAAACTGGTGTTTACAGCAGCAAAAAGATTATAGGAAAAAAATGGTCACACAAATGTGGACCATAGAAAAGTGTAGTTAAAAAAAAAAAAAAAAAATTAAATTCTGTACTGTAAAGTGTTTTAGCAATATAAATACAGTGCACCTGGAGAATAAATAACCAATATACAGCTATGGACATTTTTACAATAATGGAAATTTGACCCTAATAGTATTAAGCTCCATCAAATCTCCCATTAACGCTGACCAGGTTCTCTTTTCACATGATGTTGATAAAGAAAACATGTAGTGCAGTGTCAATGCATGTTTACCATTTCTATTCAGACAAAATTATGTAACCTGAAAACCAGGCCTCCCATGGCTTATTCATTCACCTTAAATAGAGTTGTGGAATGTATGACAAATACAGTTATCCTGTTGACAGATTTTTCCACTTTAGCTGTAGATTTCTGTAGCTTTCCTGGGTAAACATGGACATAATGGATCAAGCTGCTTCCTTTATTAAAAGTCTCCTTTCATTTCTTGTCAGTCTGGATGGACAGCCACATCTTGGAAGGTTAATGATTTTTATCTAGGTTTAGTTGCATATAGAGCCTAAATATGAATACTACACATGCTTTTCTGACTTCTGATTAAAAGTTTGAATGTCTTTTATATCTT